TGTGTGTGTGCATGTTTGTGTATGTGCATGTGTGTCTGTGTGCGTGTGTGTGTGTGCATGTGTAAGTGGGTGTGCAATTTCCTCCTCAATAAAATGAGACTAGTTCCATCTCCCATGATCGAAAACTGCAATGCAAGCAAAATTATGAAGATTGAATAGTTTAGAAAACATCTCTTATTCCTCTTGTTTTTGCTTTAGGTCGCAACATAAAGATCATTTTTGTCACTTGAATGCAAAACTAAGACCTCTTGCATGCGTCATCTAAACACTTTAATTAATTTTTGGGCAAATAAAATTTTCAACTTTAAACTTACTGGAGGCAGAGAGGCTGTTGCATCCTTGATCTCCGCTAAAATAATATGTCTATAGATGGCCATTGGTGTTCCCTGGTATCTAACTTTGCGCATCTCCTGTCCTTCTTTGACTAATGGGTCCTCCCTGTCCACACGTTCCAATACTATTTTGACATTTTCTGTTAGAAAAAAAAAGGGGAAAAAGAAAAATGGAAGCTTGAACTTCTTGGCAAAACCTGAGACACAAAGTATTACACCATCACCAACATTATTTCACAACCTAAATAAAATGCAAGAGAGACTAAAAGACACACTGAAAATTCCTTTGTTTTATTACCTTCCAGCCATGACATGACTCCTGCCTCTTTCCATACATGGTAGTTTCTTCCACAGTACAAGTTGACTATCTGACTAAGCCCTTTGCTCTGCCTGAAAATTTCAGATCATACTAAGAAAGATTTCATTTGTTTGAGGCTATGAAGAAATATGTTAATACTACACTCACAACTGATGTCTTATTTCTAATAAGAATTTATTCAACAACACAAGATTACATCATATTAAAAGCCAAAAGAGCAGAAACATAAATGGAAACTTGTATTTCACATATTTGATTATTTTTTGGATGAAAAACGGTTGATGAACACCTAATCAATATATACCAACAAATTAATATTGTTTTTGGTAAATTGTAAAATGAGTTTTTGACAAGCTCTTCTTTGTTTTATTCTATTTCCACAAAAAAGTGCATATATATATATATATATATATATATATATATATATATATATATATATATATATATATATATATATATATAAAATCCCTGCACACACACCTCCCCCCCACCATTACACTCTGCCACAAACTTTTAATGAAGAGTAGCTGAAGAAAATAAAATCACCCCTGCTAAATAATATTCCAGCTTACTCATCCTGTGCAGTGGGGCCAAAGAAGACATGACTAGTGACTGCAGGGTCTGGCTGAATACTACACTTGTCGAGCAGTGGCATCAGCACCCCTGGGAACATGATCAACGCACGCTGCAGCATGGTGTCAGCCCTTTCTCTCATTTGCTCTCGTGTTCCTAGATCTCCAGCCTGAAAAAATGGTCTTCATTAACATATTTTTGTTTTCTTTTCATTTAACATTTGAAAAAAAAAAAAATGCTTTTGCAGTAACTATATTTACTGCATGGCTATTTCAAAATTCACTTGCTATTTGTGTTAACGACATGACAATAAATCAACAGTTCTAGCCATTACTGAAAAAGTCACATTTTCACATCACATCTGGGTGATATGTGAAGTTGAAGAATTATATTTCAGTACACCTACAGTCCCACTTTTGTACAACTGGCAACCAATCAAAGCAAACATAGTGTAAATGGTATTTATGAATGAGGCTAAAACCCTAAGTAGTTTATAGCAAAGAGTGTGATTGGTCAAAAGCAAATAACCAATGAGTGTATTAATGAATATTTTTGGAAACTAAGTAAGCCATCTGATCTTTCGTTTTCTTCAAATAGGTGATAACAAAGCAAATAATATTAGTTATCACTGACTTTGTAGTGGGATTTTCTTCAAATGCAATATCTTGGAACTGTTTGTTATCAAAATGGTGACTACGATGATGTGGAGGCGGCACTTCCCCCTTCTTTCAACATACAAAGTATCAGTTATAGCTGCATATTTCTTGAAACGAAATCATTTCATGCTTTAAACATCTATGTATGGAAACTAAATCAGCTAAAAATCTCTGTAAAATCACTGAGACCTCTGTAAATACTTATGATGGCTGCATCAACTAGTAGCAGCTAATCAAACTAATGTATTTTTTTGTGTGTGTTTTTGTCAGAACCAAGCTCTTACTGAATAAACAGAAACCATGCTACATTACATTGACTATAGTACATTAACTTAAACAAAATATATAGATTCGTTATCACAGTGTGTGTGTGTGTGTGTGTGTGTGTGTGTGTGTGTGTGTGTGTGTGTGTGTGTGTGTGTGTGTGTGTGTGTGTGTGTGTGTGTGGGTGTGTCTCTGTGTGTGTGTCTGTGTGTGTCTGTGTGTGTCTGTGGTGTGTGTCTCTGTGTGTGTGTGTGTCTGTGTGTGTGTCTGTGTGTGTGTGTGTGTGTGTGTGTGTGTGTGTGTGTGTGTGTGTTGTGTGTGTGTGGTGTGTGTGTGTGGTTGTGCTCTGTGTGTGG